GGAGCAGCAGCCGCCGCCGCCCGCGGTCCCCTCGGCCGTCGGGAAGGGACGCCGAGGCAGGATGCGGAGGGGCCGGCGGAGACCCCCGCAAGAGCGAGGTGAGCCGAAGCGGCGAGGGGAACGGGACGCTGGAGGCGAGGGTGAAGTCCTTTTCCCTAGAACGGGGCAATCCGCAAAAGTTTGGAGCACTTCAAAAGTAGGAGGAAGTTGCGCCCAATTTCCCTCCAGTATCAACTGTTCTCTGTTGGGGGGAGGCTTGGATAATGGCGGGTGGGGTGAGCAGAGCTTACAGATAGAGAATCCATCAGACTATATAAAGGGGGAGCAAGGAAGAGCCGCCTGTAGTTTATTGATTTTTATACCTTCAAGCATCTTCTGTCCAGTTCATTTTGTGTTGATCTTTTGAATTAAGTTGTATGTGTTTTCAGCGCTTGTTTGGGGAAAATACACTAATTAGTTTGATTATAAAAAGAAGTTGGATCCAGACTTGATAGTGTTTAAAATATCCCCATTGAAATCAAGCTCCAGTTGGTTTCAATGTCCCATTGCTATCTGGATCCAAGGTATTGTTCTTATCTGCAGGTTAACAAGGATGTTGTGAAGCTCACCAATAAAACATCCACACTGTGAGGCTTCTCCAGAAGAACCTCTGTTTGGGCGGAAATATTAAACCACCAGTAGAAGCAAAAGTCAGCGTGAGGTAGCAAGTAGACTGTCCTGCAAAGACTCAGGAAAGGTGGGGCATGAAAGCAAATTCAAAAAAAAACAATAGAAGGAAAAGTACAGGTGAAGTATCAACACAAGCCATGGGGTGTGAACTCTATGTAGCTGCATTTTGCAATCCTGCCACTTTCCTGCTAGCCTTTATCTTGACGTTTGGACAAGCCGAGGTCAATACAGCCTACATTTTGGGTACAGATATTGGACATGCTGAGGACATGGTTGGGCTCTAGAAAAAACAAAGCATCAAAGGGAGGCATAGAGGAGATTTCTCTTCATCAGTTATTACTCTGTAGAAATTGACCTAACTGCATTTCAGATCCTAAGAAACAAATAAACTGTACCTCAGTTTTCTGGAAAGAGTACTTTGTTGCAAGGAGTACTAATGGAGTGGGACTCCAGTCTCCATCTTTGGCAGGTGAGCTGTCTTTGATGCTCCCATATTGATGTGCCAGCAAGAAATAGTTGCAGCTCTCCTGTGGGGAATTTGCCAAATCCCCAAACAAGTAGGTAGATGGGATGACATTGATGTGTTCAGAAACAGTCATATGAGATAGACCAACTTTGGAAAGAAGTGTGGTTGGAACTGAGAAATCTGAGACGTTTTATTCTGGGAAGAATAAAACAATTTCTAGGAAACAGCCAATATTTGGGGAGTAAACCGTCACCATAGCACTACAGAGTCTGAAATCAAGATGATCTGTGATTTTCTCTGGGAGAGCAGTGTATGTTGTGGGACTGTGAGGTCCTGGAATATGAGATAGTCTCTTAAATTAAGGGCTGTTCCTGTGGTCAGTGCTGCCAATTTATTTAAGCTATAGCGCAGTAACCAAAGCTATGTTAAAGGAGTTGAGACCTCTGCCAACAGCATACTCTCAAACCTACCATTCCACATCCTCTATAGCCATTATCGCAAATAAGATTGGCACGTCTCTTTGTAAGGCACTCTACTGGATTTCTTATTCCCATGTAGTTCACTGCATTAGCTGACAATTAAAAAAAACCACTTTTTAAAATGGAAATAATTTTAGGGGATTTAGTAAAGGGAGCAACTTTCCACTTGCCACCTACTCCCATTTATTTATAATAAAGACACAAAGTGGATTAGGAAACCAACAACCAATGAAATATAGTGGCTCTTCCAGTCTTAATGATCTCAAGCACTTGATATTCACTCAGATGGCCAGTTCATAAAATACACATTCGTAGGTTCAGCATATACTGACATGTGGAAGCTTTTATCACAGGAATCCTGCATACATCACATAGACTTTCTCTGTTCTGAACTCCTCAATTATACATCTCAGTGCAAGAAACAAATTCTCTTATGTAGTTTATATTTAAAGCCTAGTAATTTCTTGAGCCGTCCTGGGGTGGGGTGGATATAAGTAGTGTCAAGATTGCTGAGAATTTTGTGTTAGGTTCATAATCCTCACATTTTTCTTCTCCAACATGCATTTTCAGGCAAACAGGAAGTCAGTTGAACTATAGCAGCTAGAGTCCAATCCCTCATCAGCCATTTGCAGCCATTGGGTACCAAACATATAGTTTAACAATACACCATAGCTTCCTCTATAGATGCCACCATGCCCATTGGTCACACTTCCCGGCAACAAATCTTCCTGGTTAGTCAGAACAGAGATCTGCACTCATACAGATAATTGGTCAGGGTTGTGGTTGGTTAGAGAGAAGCCCCACACATATGAATGTGCACAGGACCTCATTAGAGTCTAGAGGCGGGACTAAGGATGCATCTAAACTAGCAGTGGGGAGGCCAAGCTAGTGTGGACTGCTTGGGAGTCCATTTCCATACAGAAATGGCTCCTACCAATAATATGAAGTGGCTTAATAAGCAAGCCATTTTGGAATATTGGCAAATTAATTGCTTCCCCTGCTTGGCAGGCGGCAGGGGGAGTGAACTTTTTAAAATCTGTATATAGACTATTGCTTATGTGGTGCATCAGTCATATAAAAAAAATCAAAATTTGCCTTCTCTCGCTAGTCAAGATCTGCTTGCAGCCGAAGCCATCACCATGGATTCATCTGTGGGAAGTTTCTCAAACGGCCCTTTAAGGCGAGGCAAAGGGAAGATTTTTGTAATTTTTTAAATAACTCAGATATAGTCCATTTTTTTCACTTTCCAGAGGAAGAGATTAATTTTCATTTTGATGTTTGGGTGCATTATTCCAGGATGAATACTGGTACCATGAATACTTGTACTAAGCTATAGTGTCTCATAGTACATTCAGCAAAATAATAGGATAGCTCCAAGGGGTCGTATATGCTGGATGTATTATAGAAGCAGTCTTGCAGTGGTTTGTAGGGATAGCAGTAGATTTATAATGGTTAGAGGAGATGGTCCCAGCAACAGTTATCAAACCACTCCTTTTTCACAAGCTCTGAAATTAAGTGCCTTGGTTTGCTACACAGTCCTGGTTAGTGTCATCTTCAGGTATGTAAAGAAAGATGTGTGACTAAAGTCCACCTATGGATATGGAGTTGGTTCCACCTATGGATATGGAGTGCTGCAAATGGTGAGATTTATTGTCCATCCCCTAGATTCCTTGGAGATACCGAAGTATTGAACAATAGAGATTATGATGCTGGGCTATATACATTATGCTTATGAAAAGAGGTCAAAAATAGCCTTCCAAATGGTAGTAGGTATTTCATTTTTATTTTCTTGACAGTCATTTTTTTTTCTTTCATTCTTAGCTGGTCACCCCATGGGACATTTATTTTTTGCTAAAGCCCATTTTTAAAGAAAAGGAATTACTTTTATGGTTTTTTTTCAGGTTTTTCAGGCTGTTTGGCCATATTTTGAAGGTTTTTCTTCCTAACGTTTCTCCAGTCTCTGTGGCTGGCATCTTCAGAGGACAGGAGTTAGAACTCTGTGTAGTGTGTGGGATTGTTGAGTATTTGTAGCTGTTGGATCAGCTCGTTCTCCTTTTCAGGAAATTGGGTGATTATTGTGATCAGGGTGTTGTTGTTGTTGTTGTTGTTGTTGTTGTTGTTGTTGTTATGAGTGTATTGTTGTAATAAGGGGGGAAGATGGTCTGCCACTGTGATTGATGGGTGTCATTAGCTAGTCTTTTGTGTGCAGTGATCACTGGTCCTTGTGGGTGGGTAGAGTTCATTGACCTTTTGCAGGCTGTATTTTTCAGCTTGTTGAGTTATAGACTTTCTTCTTTCTTTGTTGAAGCTCTGCTGGTGTTTGTGGCTTCCCTGTATAGTCTAACATAATGATTGCTGGTGTTGTCCAGTACTTCTGTGTTTTGAAATAGAATTTCATGTCAAGCTTGTTTCAGGGCATGTTCAGCTACTGCCAATTTTTATGGTTGTTTTTGCCTGCAGTGTCCCTTTAGTACTTTGCTGACCGTAACATTTGGTGTATCTTTGTGGTGGGCCTGAATACTGTTTGTAGGTTGTGTTTTTTCAAAAGTTTCCCCATATGGTCTGTGACCCCTTTGATGTACGGCAGAAATACTTTATTTATGGGTGGCTGTTTTTCCTCTTCAATTCAGTGTTGTTTTCTCAGTTTGATGGCTCTTGTGATTTCATTCTTGGAATAGCCATTTGCCTGTAGGACCCAATTCAGATGATTGAGTTCAGTGCTGAGAAATTGAGCTTCACAGTTCCGATTTGCATGGTTTACCAACGTTTTGATTATGCCTCTTTTTTGTTGTGGGTGATGGTTGGAGTTTTTGTGTAGTGGGTTGGGTTTTCTGTAGACTTTGTGTCCCAATAGGAGGTCAGGTTTGCGTATGATCATGACATCTAAGAAAGGGAGTTGGTTCTCTATTTCTTTTTCCATGGTGAATTGTATATTTGGGTGGATGCTACTGAGATCGTTTAGAAATTCTTCTAGTTTTTCTTCACCATGGTTTCAAATTGCAAAGGTGTCATCCACGTATCGGAACCAGACTGTGGATGTGAAAGGTGCTGAAGCCAGGGCCTGTTTTTCAAAATGTTCCATGTAGAAGTTTGCTATAACCGGGCTGAGGGGGCTCCCCGTGGCCACTCCATTTGTCTGTTCATATAAATCATTATCCCACTGAAAGTAGTTGGTCGTTAGGCAGTATTGGAAAAGGCCCATTATGTCTTTTGGAAAGATCTGCTGGATGAGTGTCAAAGTGTCCTTTCTCAGTACCTTGGTAAATAGGGATACTATGTGAAAGCTGATCAGTCTGTCCCTGAGGTTGAGTTTTAGGGTGCTGATCTTGTTTATGAAATGTCCTGAGTCTTTGATGTAGGATGAGGTTTGTCCAATGTGGGTCTGTAGGAGGGTGGCTAGATGTTTTGCTAATTCATATGTCAGGGAGCCAGTGGCACTTACAATGGGCCTGTGGGATTGAGTCTTTGTGGGGAGTTTGTATAG